ATAGAAGATAATGTTATGTACAGTTTACAAAAGAGTGCAGTGTTTAGTGTGACCTCACACTGCATTTTTATAAGTATTTCATCTGGAATTTGTAATTCTTTGAAACGTTACTCCTGGTGGATTAATTGTGTACAGTGTTAGTGTTACCTTGTGGGTCAAGGGTGCTGTCGTAGAAAGAACACTGAACAGGAGTGTGAACTGACAGTTCCATTAGTCCCACTGCTGCCTGTGCTGTGGACAAACCAGCGGAGAGGACAATCAAACACAGTGAGAAAAACAGGCTTTTCCAACACAGTCCATATAAACAGGTCTGCTTTAGCACTGTGACAAAACATTTCTCAGACTACCCAAACCTGTATTTAAATAGCTTAGAAAGAAATCTCAGGATACTGAACCCATCCAGGAACACTTCATGTTGTTCATTTGTCTAAACAATCTGAAGCAGTGTCCAAAAGTGGGAGATGATGGATTTTAGACAGAATGCCACAAAATGACATAAATACAGTTTTAATTTATTTCTAAAAATCACCTTTTCAATTTGATACAGTTGCTTATTTACACATAGATCTGATACTCACTGTGTTTTATCTGCCACTGCACCTGCAAAATGCCTCTCCATGAACTCCAACTGTATCGACTGTCAGTGGCTTCTAAATAAAGCAAGAGAACATTAGTTAGTCAGGTTAAGCTAACCTGGTGACCAGCATCATGCATGTGTGACCAGCTAGCACGGCTCCATTTCACTCTTTCACAAGCAGTTACACACATACGGTACACACACACACACACACACACCATCCATATTTAAAGCAGACAGCAGCTTGTGTCTCCATCCAGAGAGCACCTGTAAATAATGCAGTGTTAAAGGTGGCAGCCAGGAGGGAATTACAGGGCGAACAGGTGGAAGATCCCCACCCCTCACCCCCTCCCTCACCCATACACCCACCCATGCACCCACCACAACACGACACGACACGACACAATGCCAAGCCAAGTCTCACTCTCAGCCTCACCATCCATATTCTTAACACCACAGGTGCTGAGCTCCAGCGTGGCAGGCCCAAGGGGGCCGCCGGCCTTTCCTCTCGCCATACTCAAAGCAGTGATGGGCAATAAAAACACTTCACACCTTAAGTGAAAGATACGACTTTAAATATTTTACACACATTCTGCATATGCAATTTATCCACACCTGGCTCTTAGGAGCAACAACATCTGGTAGCTGTTGCTTTAGAGGCAATTAATTCTTCATCCAAGCGGCCAGGTCCTTTCTGAGAATGTGGGCAAACGACTTATGTGTTACTTAGATGAGCACAAATGTTGAGATTACAATGCAGTTTAGTAGCATCAAAACAATACAGAGCAGAGTGTCTGTTATAAGTAGCAATTATATCAATTTAACACCAAAGATACCACCATAAGTTGAACTAATTTCTCCACATTTTAAAGATAAAATCATGGAGAAGAGGAATTTTATATTTATTTTAATTTGCACATGGTGGACAAACAGCTATGACTAAAAATTGTTATTTTAAATCGGAATATATGTAACAAACAACTTAAAGGAGTGCTGTTTTAGACTACAGACCTTGATTGAACACGTTTTCTCCTTTACAGAGCACATATATACTGTATATTTGTACCAACCCATTTGTTTTCTTCCGAGACAGAGGTCATTCGGAGCAAACAAACAGAACAGCTGCTTTTTTTGTGCAGTATGCAATCAGTGAGTGGTGTAGTCGTCTCTCTGGTTAAAGCTGGTTAGACGGCTGCTTTTCTTCTCAAAGACTAGTCAAACACTTGAGTCCAATTTTCAAGCTGCATATTCTTAAAGAGTGCTGTCACTGGCATGGAATATTACTTTCAACCAGTCTCATGTTTAATTTGAAGAATACAGTT